AAAACTCAGATCGGCACCTGCTTTTTCTCTCCCCACACTCACGGTCCTAATTCAGGCCCCCGTTTTTCTTACTCAGTAGCTTTCTAAGGAATCTTTGGCTTCTAAGTCTCCCTCTGCCTCTAGCAATTAAAGTGATTCATTTCCCTTGCCAAGACTATTAACACTAGATTCACACTAACCGCAGTGTACAATTCTAATTCCTTAGTATAGCATTCGAGGACCTCCACCTCACTTATGGGGTACCAAGCTACTTGCATAAGGCAGTTGACATGGCTGTCATCACATCATCCCAGGGGCCAGGACTGGGATAAACAGGGGGCCAGAGTGCTTATTTAGTATGAGATATTTAATATCAAGTGTTTCTTTGATACAGAACAGTGCACATTCAGCTTAAAATTAATCAAGATGAATATTAAAAACCTAACAGAGAGCCTCTAAGAACTTAAATGTGGCCATTATTTTTCTTCACGTTTGTATTGTGCTATTTTTGTTGCTGTCTTACCCTCATGGATATCAGCTGTCAGTAGATTCGTCTCCCCAAACTCCCATCACCCTTCTTTACTCCTTCTGTCATCTGTTTCTTTCAGAAGCCTCATCTATATTTTGTGTATTGTCATCTATTTTTGCTTGTTGTCCTGATTATGACGTATTGCTGCTCATTAAAACATCATTGTTTTCCAGGAGGGGTTTCTTTTTCACTGAGATGCAGAGATCGAATATGTAATCTAGTTATAGACAGTTGGGATAGTGACTCAGTTAACCTGCAAGAGCCATGAAAGAGCCATGGTGCGTCATAAATCCTCAATCACATTTCCTGTACCAGCTCGTAACAGTGAAAAAACACAGAAGGTGGCAAATGAGCAGGCAGGAGACAGAGGTTAATGAGCTGTGGCTGCACCGTTCATGCTAATCATGCTCCTACTTAATATATTCATAGAAATTCTCACATCTACTTAACATATTCATGAAACTTCTAGTATTCACTTAAAATATTCATGGAACTTGCTCATTTTCAGTCCCACAGTGGTCACAAAAGTTATTACAAATACATAAGATGGAAAAGGTAATCTGAGGCCAGAGTGTTTGCCTCTCTAAATAGTGTTAGCATCTGGACAGAGGCCGAGACTGTATCTAATGAATTTTCACTTCTCCAAACATTTAATATCATTCTTCATGCACAATAAAGTTTTACAAGATTAAATATTTGTTGAATCAAATCATTTCTACAGGAAAAAAAAATGTGACCAATACAAGGTGAACTGAATTGTGTCGATGAAAAAATTACTCTCTACAACATACAAGTTATCAGAGTGTTGGTAAGCATGTGAAGAAATAATTACAAATACATAATTAGTGGCCATATAAATTTGTTCATCCTCTTTGGAGAACAATTTGAGAATATTATCACAGTTTTACTACACACATCCTTTGACCCAGCAATTCAACTCCTGAAATTTTATTATACAAATAAATTTATTCATATGCATAAAAAAAGTGCACATAAAAATGTTTGTTGCATTGTTTTTAAAAGCAAAGGAAAAATAACATATATGTCCATTAATAGGGGAGAAATTAAATAAATGATATTACTTCCATTTATTTGGAATATACTATAGCCATTACTATATCATGGACCAAAATATAGTAGATGTGTATGTGCTGACACAGAAAGATCTTCAAGGTAAATTGGTACTTGGGGAAAAATTCATGAAGATATAGAACAGCATGTTTAGAATAAGGTGTATCTTATTGTGCAAAAGTGAATACACACAAACAGAGATAACACAGAATTTTCTTAAAAGGATACACAAAAGATAGTTGGCAGTAGTTAAGAATCTGAATGAAAGAGACCAACATTTCATTCTCCACTCCCTGTTTGCATTTTTATTCTTTGTATTATTTTATCATAATTGAAAAGGTAAGAACAGAAAAAATTATAGAATTACAAAGGTAGAAGGAAAATTTGTGATCATTTGCTCAAAAAGGAGTGAAAAGTGAGTTGCTTGAGGGCACACAGCTGTTTGATGTTAGAACTGCAACCTAGGACCACTAGCTCAGATTCTTACTCAAGTTCCTTTAATCATACGCCTAGAAGCTACCATTTATTGAGCGCCCACTATGTGCTATGTGTCTCTGCACTTTACAGAGAGTAGCTCCAATTCTTACAAGAACCCTGGGGTTAAAGTGTTATGTGTCATTCATCTTTCAGGACCTGTTTATAGCATTGAGCAAAATGTTAGGGTAAGTGGCCTAGAGTACTAGGTACAAATACATTACCACTGTTATCGCTATAACTTTACCAAGGTATGTACTATTGATATTTCCATTTTAAAGGTAAGGAAACCTTGCTATTGATTATATATCTGGTATGTGATGAAACTGGGATTCCAGCCCCAGTTTGCCCAACTCCCAAATCCCTCTTCTTGGTAGTATTTAATATTCTATATCTTGCAACTATCAATACAGTGAGAGAACTTGATTTAAAAGTTTGCTTAATTGTTATAAAAACTTGCAAGTTAGCTATTACTAGAAAACCAGTACTTTACATATTGACATCCCATTCAAAAATCATACATTTCATTGTCCAATTTTATCACCTACCTAATTCACTACACACACTATTCTGTGATTCCTGAGCCAAAATCTTCTGCTGCCAACATTGCTAGCCAACATACAAGCCCATATTTACTGCAGAAAAATAAATCCTAAAACACTTCAGATTCTAAACCCAATTCTGCCTGTTCATAGCCACTTCTCCTCTTTTGGCAGGTATTACAAAAGTCACAAATTAAAAGTCTTGGTGCTACAAACTACTGCTCATCTGCCACAATAATTACTATATTCAGCAATTTACAATTAACATTCATTTATAATCGGGCTCCACATAGCTCCACACAGATCCCAGTGATAGCTATTTTCATCTCGAGACTTAAAATTCAACTCAGCAATTGTGTTTGTCATTAACATTATGGAAACACACGGCTCCAACTATACATACTAAGTGCCTATGGGAGCCAAGCTCTCAGCTTCTTGAACCTACATTTTTCTGTTTTCCATCTTTGAGCCTGGAATCACACTGTATAACTTAGCTTTATT